CAGGGCTCGAACCCGTGTCCTCTGCATTGGCAGGGGGATTCTTAACCACTGCGCCACAAGGGAAGGCGGAAGCGCGGAGTCTTAACCACTGGACCGCCAGGGAAGTCCCGGGTGGTACTTTCATTAGTGGGAAATTGTAAAATCCCGCCGACACCTCACCCGAGGCATCTCTTCCACCTGTTGTGCCTGAGTTGTATCCTTGATAGTAAACACAGCGCCACCCTGAGTTCTGTGAGCCGTTCTAGCAAATTATCCAACTTTGGGGGCCGTGGGGATGGGTTGTGGGAGCCTTGACTTACAAGAGGCCCAGGATGTGGGCCTGGCATGTGAAGTGGGGGCAGTCTTGTCGGGCTGAGCCCTTGACCTGTGGGGTCAGATGCCAGGTCCAGGTAGGCAGTGTCAGACGGAGCTGAATTGTTGCACTCCCAGCCGGTGCCCGGAGGCCAGTTGCTGTGGTCACCCACCCACACACATTTGGTGTCAGAAGTGAGTAAAAATAGCTCGAAGCTCCCCAGAAGACCAGCAGAGACACTCCCAGGAGCCTTTAGACCACGGCCACGGGCCTCACGTGGCTGCTGGGCGGTCCTGGCTGGTCGGAATTGCGGGGTGCTGTGTGTGTAAAAAACACGCTCAGATTTCAGAGACCTAGTACAAGAAAAAGACATATAATACATCTCATGTAATTTTTTTATTATGAAAATAATTCTTTATTACAAAAAGTTAACAACATTCAAATAAGCCGGAAAAGATCGCAGAAACCCATCCATAGTAGCACCACCCAGAGGTGACACAGAGCATGCTTCTCGTTACCCATAACTGTTCAGACACGCCGGCTTCCGTAGAGGGACCCGGAAGCTCCTCTCCTCTGGAGCCCGCCGCGATGGCTGGTTCGGAAACTTTGTTTCATGACGAACACGTGCATCTTGGAAATGCTCGCTGTGTCAGCGAGTCAGCCTTTTCAAAGCTGAGGTTCCTGGGCAGGAAGGCTGTTTAAGTACATAAATTATTGGGGCAAGCGGGGCTTAACTGAGCACTTAGCCTCTCCGATTTCTGCCCCTCCCCTTCTCTCCAGGTGACAGTTCATTAGTAAAGGTTGATGCTGCAGGCTGGTTGAGATGGTCGTTTTCTGGATTTACGGGGCTGCAGAAAGTACAACTTGTGCCCACACCCACCTGTGTCTCTTTGCCCGTTACCGGAGCCGCTGGGCTCTGTCGGAGGCCCTGAGTGGTGGAGGGGCACCGGCACTGGGCACGTCTCACTCGAGGGGGGCTGACCCAGGGGCCCGTCTGCCTGGGTGCCCAGGGTGGGTCCAGGAAACAGGAACAGTGGGCCAGGAGGCCCCAATGCCCTGACTCTCCTCTGCGGGTTCCTCCTGTGACTTTGGGGTTCTTTGGCAGCTGAAGCTCGGAGAAGTCGGGGAGACCTCTTGTCCTGGTCAGCGACTGACAGGAAACACACTCAAAGCGACTTTAGCGGGAGTGGGGGCCGAGGCTCTCCCGACTGGACAGGCTTCAGGCCCCCCAGCTCTGTGTCCTCACCCAGGCGGTCATCAGGCCTGGCAGGAGGCGCAGGCCCTGGTAGGCATCAACTTGTGGAAGAATTTAGAAGAGGCTGAGAAGCTCCATTCTCTAAGGCTGATGGGTGATGGGGCCGGGGCGCAGGGACAGAGCTCCCTCCTGCCCGGCTGGGCCCGAGCGCCGTCTGTGTCTCAGTTCTTTACTTGTAAAACAGGACTAAGGAGGACGCCCTGTGGCTACCGGGAAGGGTAAGGCCAGGCTGCACAGAGGCCAGCCCCTGTGTCCCCACGGTGGGCCCATCCAGCCAGTGCCCCCACCCTGACCCTCCAGGGCCTCGCACACGTGTCGATGTTGACACACACACGGGTAATAATCCCTCGTAGCTGTGTGTGGCCCCTGCACTGCCCAGAAGTCTTTTTTTTTTTTTTAATTTTTATTGGAGTGTAGTTGCTTTACAGTGTTGTGTTAGTTTCTACTGTACAGCAAAGTGAATCAGGTATACGTATACATATATCCTCTCATTTTTGGATTTCTTTTCCATTTAGGTCACCAGAGAGTACTGAGTAGAGTTCCCTGTGTTATGTTCTCATTAGTTACGCCCAGAAGTCTTGAAGTTCCCACCGAGTGATGGCAAGGCCGAGGCCAGGAAGAGGACCGTAGGCCCGGGTTCCCGGCTGCCTTGGGAGCACGGGTGGGCGATCACGTGGGAGAGGGGAGACATCCTTCACACTCTGTGGGAGACCCTGCCCAGGGTGCCATGGAGGACGGTCTCATGGAACCCGTGATAGCCGTGCAAGGTGGATGTTAACATCCCTATTTTTATAGCTAAGAAAGCCTACCGATAAGTGATAATAGAACTTGATTCAGCA